AACATTGGTATTAATAATGGGGCATGTATGTACATGCCAATTTGACTCGTGAACAGTGTGTTTGTGTTCGGCTCGAATTACAACACATACTTTTAACATTGGTATTAATAATGGGGCATGTATGTACATACCAATTAATTCTTATGTACTTACATATCTAACATCTAAACTTTACTTTTTTATGTTTATACCACCCAAATCGTAAATTAATATCACGTATAGATCCCAGATCCCATTTTCTAAAGGAATCATCTGTGCATACAAAAACAATAAGCCCTTGAACAACATGGGCTTCAAAGCCTCCGATTTGGGATGCATTATTTATAAAAATTTGAGACTATGTATTCTGCAATAGCCAAACTAGATGTGAGGCCTGGAGATTCAATCCCGAATAAGTTTACCAGCCCAGGAATACCATGGATGTTCTCCCCCTGCAATGCATGCAATCATAAGTGAAAAAGAAACTGAATAATATTAGCAGGCAGATTCACATATATACCACTCTATATCTATGTATTTACAAATGGAGCAGCTAAATTTCATGTTTTGCATATCCAGTACCTTTCATGTGCATGAAAAGGTGTAAAAATGTATAAAATATAGGTGTTAGATATATAAATGCTTGGGGATTAGATGGTAGATATGTAAAAGCCCCTATTAATTCATGGTTCTCGAATGCACGTGTATTAGCTCTTTTCATGAAAATATTTTCATTTTGGCACTTGATCTAACAGTACTATAATAATTAAAGGACATCATAGGACGTCTGACTCCATAAATTACAGAGATTTAGCTTTTAGCCAGCTTTTCCGAGTCCTTGTTTTGCGGATCATATTCTGCATGGATAGTTACTAATAGATTTTTTATAATCAAGCACGTTCTGAGACCATGTTTATAATATTGGTTAGATAAGATCCTAGGACTGGGTGGGACTTAATTGTCACATGGATTAAGGGTGTGTTTGGAAGAGCTTATTTGCAGCTGTGGCGTTTTGAAAACGCCACCATCCGTTTGGAAATCCCATTTTTATAGCTTTTTCTAAAACTCCGTTCTCATTTTTGTATTAGACGCGGATCCCAGATAGGACCATGCGATCCGCGTTTCATATTGTCGCTCCTGCCCTAATCTCGCAAGCGGTGAATCGAACTCTCCCTCTCCGAACCAATCCAGCACATCACAGCACTCCGTCGCTTGATAAGGTTCTGCTATCGCTGGCTATTTTTGGATTTGAGGCGCCGGCGGGAGCTCCGGGGCCGC